GTTGTGTGTGAGACCCCGTAGACTCTTCCTCTCTTTTCTCAACTCTCACTCACTCAAAACTCTCTCATTCACTCTCTTTGCTGGTGGAATTCTCTCAAGCCCTTAACCTTGTTGCTAATTTCTTTCTCTCTAGCTGAAGTCGTGAGTAATCTTGGAGGTCCTTTCTCGTAATCTTGAAGCCGTTCGGAGCTAGTTGCGTGCAGAATTCTCTTCTTCTTCTCGTTCATCCTCTTCCCGGAGCTCGGATTTCTTCACCGAGGTAAGGGAAGCTAGGTTTTGCTGTTTTTGGTTGAGAATGAGTCTTAGAAACTCATTGGCTGCTTGTTGATGGATGATCTTTGGCTGAAATTGAAGAAAAATTAGTTTTCGGGTTTTCGAGGTTTCGGGTGAAATTTGGGTTTTTCTCATTTGATGGTTGCATGTTGAAAAAGATGATGTTTTTGAACTCTTAGATGTAAATGTGGACTTTTGGATGGTTTGCATTTGGATTGCCTGGTTGGTTTTGCAGGTTTTGAAGAGATTTTCGAAAGTTTGAGGGTTGCTGCTGGGTATCACGCCGGGCGCAGTTCTTCGTGCCAAGCGCGTGACCACCAGGGGGCTCCATTTGGGCAAGCCTACCAGGCGCAAAGATGTGTGCGCCGGGCAAGCTTGAGAATGTGAGCCTCTAGTTGGCCCACGCCGGGCGTGGTAGGACCACGATGGGCATGATATCAGTATGTGACATGCTTTTGGGGGTTTCTGGTGTGGCGCCGTGCGTGACCTTGTCTCGCCGAGCGTGGAGACTCCTTGAGAGTCTCTGCTGGAGGTGGCTCCGGGCACAATTATTATTGTGCCGAGCGTGAGACTTTGGGGAAGTCTGTGGTTACCCTGCACCGAGCGCGGGTTTGCCATGCCGGGCGTGTGAGACCTTTGAGGGTCTCTGCCTCCTAGCACAACCGGGCACAATGGGAATTGCACCGAGCGCGCTGAGCCTTGATGCTCTCTAGTTGTGCCACGCCAGGCGCGACCATGAGCGTGCCGGGCGTAGAGATGACATTCGATGTTGAGCTGCTATGTGTTGAATTATGCTAAAATTGCTTATAGATGTTGTTAGATGCTGAGCTGAGCTGTAAATGATGAATATTGTTGTGTTTTGAGCTGTGTAAGCTGGGCTGTGAGTTGTTTGGCTGTGTTGTATAATGCTGAGCTGTATGCTGTTATTGTTGCTATGCAGTGCTGTGCTCCATGCTGATAGGAGCTGTTGTAAGCCGTAAGGCTGAGCTGTTGATCACTAAGACTAGAGGAGATGTTCCTGAAATTTTCCTCATCCCATTATGTGGATGCAGCGGCTGTGGTGCTCTTAGAGCCCAATTTTGTTGAAAACCCTCCCTGGAAAGCTGAAACTTGGAGTGGTAACTTGCTGTTCTCCTCTAGGTTCTTAGTTGTCCCGTGTGTGGGCAAGGTCGAGGTACACGTGTACAAAGTGAGCACGGTATAGGGGCCAGGTCGAGCTATACAGATTACAAGCGACCAATACTAACTAATATGTGTGACGACGCATTATGTGTTTACTGCTGTTTACTACTGTTATTACTGAATGTTGTGATATATTATAAGGTGATGTTGTTAAGCTGGTTGATGTACTGATAGTTGTAGCTGTTTACCATTCATGTATTGATATATTGGTATGTTGATTCTTTTCACTAGTTTACCCTTTGTTGTTTCGATGTGGTTTGGACTGCGATGATCATACTATGTATGGGAGTAGAGCAGGGTTAGGTTGGTGTGCTGAGGAGGGTCTGCAGCTGGCAGATGGCGTTTGATTATTTTGTTGTATTTAGCTACTTAGTATAGCTATGCTGGATGTATTTTGTTCACTATGACAAATTAGCGCATTGCTGGTTGTATTTTGTACACTTTGACTCTAGCCAGATTTGGACCTTGTATATATATATATTCTAGACGTTATATGTATATACTTGTTCTTTTCTATGTGGTGTGTTTTGTTGTGTGTAGTGACCAGTCGGGTCGTTACACTTTAGTGGTATCAGAGCAGTTCGATTCTAGTGGGCACTCTTTGGGGGTGGTTCCTTTAGGCTTTTGTTGTGCTGAACTCTATGCTGTGCTGATTTCTTGTTGCTTGCTGTGCTGTTGATTGTTGTTTGGTTTAGTTATTGTGTATTGAAGATGTTGTTAATTTTGTAGAGAATGACTAGAACCAATGAGCAGATAGCCCGTGCCATGGAGATGATGGCTATGGCTATGCAGCAACAAAATGCTTATTTTGCTAGGATGGAAGCTGATAGAGTCGCGGCTGGTGCAACAAGGCCATTGGGGTCACAGGAGAACCGGGATCTTGCTGAGTTCTGGAAATGCCATCCTCCACAATTCAAGGGAGATGCAGACCCAGAGGTAGCTGACCACTAGATCTGTGAGTTGGAGAAGATCTTCACTATGTTGGGATGTTCTCAAGAGAGGAGGCTGGCATATGCTGTATACATGCTGGTTGGGGAGGCTGAGCATTAGTGGAGGGGTACTCACCATATGCTGACTGCTAGAGGTGTTGTTGTTGATTGGGAGTGCTTCAGGAGGGTGTTCTTGGAGAAGTATTTCCCGGAGAGCGTGAGGCACGCCAAGGAGGCTGAGTTCATGCGGTTGCACCAGGGTGGGATGACAGTATCGGAGTATGCGATGAGATTCGAGCACCTGGCTCGTTTCTATTCGCAAGCTATTTTTGAGGCTTGGAAATGCAGGAAATTTGTTGAGGGTCTGAAACAGGAGCTGAAGAGGGTGGTGGTGCCTATGGCCATCACTGAGTTTCCGGCCTTGGTGGAGAAGGCAAAAGTTGTTGAGCGGTTAGAAGGTGGCAACCGTGTGACTAGAACTGTTGAGGGACTAGCTGGGTCCAAGAGAGGAGGAAATCAGAGGAAGCCATATGATAGGCCCCAACCACAGCAAGGGGGTCCTGTCATTAGGCAACCTTCTGATGATGCTAGAGGAGGGAGATAGGGTGGAGGTGCCACTCTTAGATGTTACAGGTGTGCTGGACCCCATTTTGTCAGGGATTGTCCACACACAGAGAGCCAGTGTTTCAAGTGCCATCAGATGGGTCATGAGTCGACCAACTGTCCCTCCAGAAATAGACCGGAGAGAGATGCTCAGAGGGGTGGTGCCCAGAGAGGCGATGCTTAGAGGGGTGACAGACCTACTACTACTGGCAGAGTATTCACCTTGACTGGGGTTGAGGCTTCGACTTCTTCTGATCTTGTGAAGGGGAAGGGTAAAGTTGCTGGTAAGGATGTGATGATTCTTTTTGACTCTAAGGCTTCTCACTCTTTTATTTTCTATGCTTGTGTTGCTATGCTGGGTGTGCAGGTGTGTGATTTGGGGTTGAGACTGCTAGTGTCAACGCCCGCTTCTGCTTCAGTAGTTGCTTCTAAGCTGTGTGCTGGCTGTCCTATTGTTGTGAATGAGAAGAGGTACAAGGTGAACTTGATTTGTTTACCTTTGGTGGATATTGACATTAGAGCTGTCAAAATGGGCTCAGCTCGGTGAGCCAACCCGGCCCACTACGGGTTCGAGCCGGGTTGGGCTAAAAAAAATTTGCAAATTTCTGTGCGGGCCAATTTTAAACCCGGCCCACTAACAACCCGGCTCACCCGGGTTCAACCCGTGGTGAGCCGGGCTAACCCACCAGCCCATAAAAAAAAAAAAACTTGTGTTATTGCCTTATTGGGTTGGGCCAAACAAAATTAAAATCTTTTACACCGTAACCCTAATGTTCTCATTCTCATTTCTCACACACCCACACCCTCGTCAGCGCCGCAAGCCAGGAGGTGAACTCTCGCCGTCTTCACTCTCGCCGTCTTCACTCTCATCGGCCTTGCGTGGAACTCCGACGTCGCCAGAAGGTGAACTCGCGAACTGCTCACGAATAATTTTTCCTCCTTTAGCTTCAGCCTTCAGTTCAGGTACTGGTGGACGTTTATTTCCTGCATATGTAAATTCTAGTATTGCG